AATAGGAATCTTTCTTCTGAGAACTGCTGGATAGTAATTCTTAGGTGTTGCCAGTTCCTAGTCTCTGTCAAAACACTCAACTCAATGTGGCAGGCATAGACAGAGTGAAATTAATGGGTGTGAGGCTGTGTTCCAATAAAACTTTATTTAAAACACAGCTAGTGGACTGTGACTAGAGCTGGAAGCACATTTGGAAAGCTGCAGGACCCACAACTCAGCAGGGGAAGCTGTGAACAAGCTGTTTAAGTCTGTGGTTTTAAAAATGGACTCGGCACATTCTTCCCACCATGGAAAAAGTGGGAGAGAAAGAGAATGGGACAGGACAAAGGTTTAAAAGCAGAGCCTGAGGTTTGTGTTGGAAAAAGCACTAGTCAGAAGATGGACTATCTTCCAAGATGGGGGAAATTTATAGGCATTGGCAATACTTGGGAACTGAAGAAAATTTAGATTGTCCAGAGTTAATTGAAACATTTCTTCATTCTCAAAAATCTGGTAAAGGAAAAGTTGCTCTTTATCTGACAGTGAATCTGAGCAAATCCAAGAAGAAAAGAGAAGGTGTTGACAAAGCAGAGGTCCGTCAGGGGTCTTGATGCTGATGGTGCAATGGTACCCACAGATAGCAGTAAGACATGGGCTCTCATCAAGTGGAAGGGTGAGATGAGGCAGAGGCAGGCATGGCGTTGGCAGAGGAGACAGACAGGGAGCATTTTCAAATTATGATTTTTTTTTTTTTATCACAGACTGAGTGGGCATATTCTTACTCAGAAGAAATCCAATAATTGTTGGCTTGTGTGTGTGTGTGTGTGTGTGTGTTCAAAATCTGGGTTTAGTTTTTAAATTACTATTGTGGAAAAAATACATTCTAACGAAAACTAGGTTTTGAAAATATTCGCAGTCTCTGGGATTTTGTTGTTGTTTGTTTTGCATCAAAAGGCACTAGTTACTCAGGGCAAGTGGAAGCTTTCTTTATTTGTTTCCTTTATCAGAAAAGGGTATATTGGATACCATAATGTATTTCATCTGAATTATAGGACAGTCTTTTCTCAATGTTAGGGGAATTTTCCAGTTATTATTTAATGCGAACTTATTTTAAACTGGCATGTAGAAAAACCTGGATTTTTTCTTTGCATGTGTGTACATAAGATACTTATGTAAGTAGTTTAGACTTTTAACTATTCAAACAAAGCCAAGGATGGTAATCCCATGTTTATGAGATTCTATCAATTCAGTCAACCCAAGAAATCACTGAGGGTGAAGTTGAAGATGTACCTGAAGCCATAACCTTTCAAATTAAATAGATGAGTCTGTAGTTGTTTAGACAGTTTAGATTCAATAATGTAAAACAGCTATATCCAAATCATACCTGCATCTCTCATCATACAAATGCAACCATTTATTTGCAAAATTCTTTAAGGACAAGGTTTTACCACTACCAACAACTCTTCACCTACACAAGGAAACTAGAGAGAGCATGGTTCCTTACAATTATAAAGACTTAAACAATGGACACTTAAAGGTTCCTCTAAAGATCTACTCCTTTCCACTAAGGAAATCTGTGTACGCAAAGGTTATGACTCATGGACCATCTAAGACAAAGCATGGAAATGTGTTCATATTATTAGAGAAGTTGGCAACTCCAGACACACTAGTGTACATGGGGAAACAAAGTTCCATATGAAAGATCATTCTTTCTGTCACAGAGACCTTGCTCTGGACTCCCCGGTTCTTATTGCCTCCACTGAAGGAATTCAGACAAGACACACAGAAGACAGCACAGAAGACAGAGTTTACTGTGAAGTTGAGGCGACCACATGCTCAAGGGGTGGAAGTGTCCAGAGGGAACATTGCCCTGGACTACACTACAGTCAGGCGCTTTACTATTTCTCAAGTCTCTGGAATAAGCAGCTTTCCCAAAGTTCCCAAAGGCCTTTTCTGTCCAAATAGCTGACAAGGCTTTTTGGTCTGACCCTTGGGAGAGCAGGGAATGGTATGTCCTTGGTTTTTATCAGTCTTAAAAAGTTTAGGGCTTCTGGAATCAGGCTTAGATATTATCTCTTAAAGATCTTCCAAGCAGTTCAGGATGCCACATCTCCTCCCAGTGCCAGAGATATGACTCAGGTCCTGCCCATTCCTCTGAGCAGTCCGGCAATTCTGGTCATGGTGGTAGAAGCTGTTGTGAGGGACAAGCCTGCAGCTTGTGAGCAGTTCCTCACATGTAGGCCCAATCTTTTCAGTAGTGGGGTTAGTACTTCAGAAGATAGGAAAATAACTTTATAGCAATCAGAATGATATCCAATGGTATATCTCTTACTTCGTTATAAACAAAGGGCCAGTGGTCAATAAATAGTGACAGATTCATGTGCCCAGAATCCTTAGCCTGATCCAGTCACTTCCTCTCATATCTTGTGCCCCAAGCTGCTCAGATTTTTTTAATCAGTTTTTCATAGCATCAAGGTAACATTTTATAGACTCTCTCAAAATTATGTGCTATGAATGTTTTTATTGCATTACATTAAAAGACAGACAAGTTTTATACTCTCTTAATAAAATGGCGTAGACTTGAAACACGAAGACTTTTTTGACTGTTTCATCCTATGCATTAATCGTAAAAGCTGGCTGCCATGTAGGCATCACATGCTTAAAAATGTAGGCTTCATTCAGGAAGTGAAATTATTTACAGGTCAGTATTTGCAGGTCCGCTTATATATTTAGTTACTTTCTATAGGCAGGGTCCCATTATGTAGCCCAGGCTGGTCTTGACAATCCTCCTGCCTCTGCTGCACAAGTGTTGTGAAGACAGGTGTGTGCCACAGTGCCTAGCCAAACAGGTTGAAACACTGCTCTTAGGAGGGATAATGAGGTCCACAAAGGCAATTAGATTAGCAACCATAGCTCTGCTGCCAAACCATAGACAACCTGCTGCCAACACCCCCCCCCCCGG